GGACTCACGCCTGTAATCTTAGCACTCTGGAAGGCCAAAGCTCAAGGTCAGGAGTTCGAGACCAGCCTGAGCAAGAGCAAGACCCCATCTCTACTAAAAATAGAAAGAAATTAGTCGGACAACTAAAGATATATAGAAAAAATTAGCTGGCCATGGTGGCACATGCCTGTAGTCCCAGCTACTCGGGAGGCTCAGGCAGAAGGATGGCTTGAGCCCAGGAATTTGAGGTTGCTGTGAGCTAGCCTGACGCCACGGCACTCTGGCCTGGGCAACAGAGAAAAACTCTGTCTCAAAAAAAAAAAAAAACAAAGGCAGTGTGTACCCACATGAGGCAAAGAATGCCAGCAGTCCTGAAACCCTTGAAAAGAATGTCTGAATGTTTTTAAGGTTTCCCAACTATTAATTTTTATAAAGTGAAATTTATTGTATAAGTGACCGGGCAAGATGATTTCCTGGAGGAAGAAAGTGAATGATTGAGGTCTGCAGAGAAACATTGATAAGAAAGAATTAGAAGAATAAAAAAAAAATCTTTCTATAGAAAGATAGTAAACCATATGTGCTCCACATTTGAGACATTTAAGAGATTTTCAAGGGCAATTTTGACTTCATTGGCTAGTGATAGAATTGGGCCCTGGACTGGAGAAAAGAGAACCTGCAAGAAGTGTCCCTCATATGCAGGAGATGAGAAAGCCCTCCGAAGTGGCATTAAGAGGGTTGGGTGGGGTGGGGCCCAAGGCAAGAGATGGCCAGCGGGGAACTCTTCTGAGGGATCCTAAAAGTAAGTTTATCTCATATATAGTTTCAAATTTTTCTTTCTGTATTTTCTTAGACTAAATCCTTACTAAAGTCTGATAAACATGACAGCTATGTCTTAGCAGTGATTTAGAGGATAAAGGAAGGTACTATGTCCATGCCTGGAGAAGTGGTTATGAGTTGAGGCGGTTGACAGAGAAGACTAGAGCGGCTGTCTGGAACAAGAGGTGGCAATGAGAGTAATGATGATTTTGTGGAAAAGCAAGCACTCCTGGGGCACTCATAAATATTTAGAGAGGGGACTAGAATTTCTGCAGTTATATAGGTTCAGGGCACAGATTGCAATCATGGGGATTAAAAAGAAAGGTGCTTCTTCATTTCCATCCCTGGAAAAGTAAACAATTTGGGACAATTCAGAATATATACACAAGAAGAAATACCTAGGCTATAGTGGTTAAATCTGGAGAAAAAGATCAGGATGGGCCAAAGGAGGAGTCTAACATTACATTTGTATTACTTGTACTTGTTATTATAACCATGTATTAAATATAAGGTTTAGGAGGAAGCAGAAAAGCTGTGAAAAATGATTGTAAAATTCATCAGAAATGAGAGTATTGAGGGGAGGCCAGGTGCGGTGGCTCATGCCTGTAGTCCCAGAACTTTGGGAGGCAGAGATGAGAGGATGGCGTGAGCTCAGGAGTTGGAGACTGCAGTGAGCTACGATCGTGCCACTGCACTCCAGCCTGGGTGACAGAATGAGACCCTGTCTCTTAAGAAAAAGAGAATTTTTTGTTTTGCCTAGGGCACTCTTGAACGCCCTTCTCACTTCCTACTTTGTTACCTGGCCTCTGATTTCAAGCCCCAGCTCTGTGTTTTCAAGGGATAGCCTCCTCTAGGGAGCTTTGTGCTGAGTTAAATACAGTTAGCCCTCCCTACCTGTGGGTTCCACATCCATGAATTCAACCAATTACAGATGGAAAAGACTCAGAAAAAAAAAATTTCACAAAGTTACACGAAGCAAAACTTGAATTTGTCACATGTCATTGAATCCACTTGAATGAAGAGATGGGTAGGCATTGTATTCAATATGGTTAGCAACCTAGAGACTATGCAAAGTATTCGGAGGGTGTGCATAGGTTATATGCAAATACCACACCGTTTTATATCAGGGTCTTGAGTATTCCCGGATTTTGGTATCCATGGGGGGTCCTGGAAACAACCCCCCATGGATACTGAGGGAGGACTATAACTCCTGCTTTGTGCTGCTATAACACCCTGTGCCTTCCTTTCTCACATGGAATTGTAATTACTTATCACGTTGAATTATAATCAGGATGACCAACCATCCTAGTTTGCCTCTCCCTAGTTCTAATTCTCTGTTAACTTGTTCACATCATAGACTATGAGCACCTTGACTGCACAGATGGTTGATATCATCACTGGGTTTTAAAAATTTTATTCTATTGTACATTCTCTCTTATGATCTTTACTTACTGTAGTCTTGAGTTTATTAGGGCATAGTAGACAGCAGGTAAGTGGAAGGGTCACTGGTCCCATCAACAGGTGATATAGGCAGCTCCCACTGGGGTGTGATTTGAAGGATGCTAAAAAGTTATTAAAAACTATTTTTGTTACAGGCTTATCAGAGTGCCAGTGAAAAAAATTCCCCTCTAGATTGTTAACTGGAACGAACAGCACCTTGATTAGTTAATATATTAGGGTGATTTTGTTTGTTCCTCCCTTTAGTGCTCATTGTAACTTTGAACAGTTATTTAAATACTGCCATCTAATGCTGCAATCTGCTCCATTTCTGTCCCACTCTCACAAGTCTCCTACCCTGCCCTACTTTTTATATTTTCCATGGTGCTTATCATCTTCTAACATCCTGGTCAAGTGTATTTCCTTATTATGTCTATAGTCTGCACCCCAACCCCATTGCTACAGGACAGGGATCCTTGTTTTGTTCATTGATGTATCCAAAGTATATACAAAATTGCCTGGCATATAACAGATGCTCAATAAGTATTTGTTGACTGAATAGATCTGGTAAAATTAGGGATGATTCCTCTTTTGGGGTTAACTCATTATAATTCTTTATTCACAAAATGAAAATTTTAGGATATTAACAGACCATTTACTACTTTTCTTGAGGACAAATATACCCTTTGAGACAACCAATTATTACTTTCTTAACAATTTCTTTAATTGAAATGTAGAAAGCAAGTCAGGATAGTTCTAAGCAAAGAATTTCTAACAAGAAATTTCTAAACATTACATGTTCTCCTTTCTTATTGAAATATGTACACAATGTCTTGGAAAGGGGCATGCAGATCTTGGTGACATTTGCCCAAGAGCCACAATAATCACAGCCTTTTAATTCCATCTGTTTCCCATAAGAAGGAAAAAGTGTTCCTTCCTGTCTTCAGGGACCATGGAAAGTACGTAGGGACCCTAAAGATGCCCAAAACTGTTCAGAAACAGTAGGGTTTCTCAAATTTGCATAATATACTGTGGTAGACAGCCTCTAAGATGGGTTCCAGTGATCCTTGCCCCCAGTATTCGTGCCCATGTGTGGTTCCTCACACAGTGAATCAGGGCTACTCTGTGTGATCAATAGACAAGTGCAGAAATGATAGCGTGTGTCTTCCAATGCTTTGTCATAAAAAGCATTGCAGCATCTGCCATATAAGTGAGTCACCTAGGAAGTGGATTCTCCAGCCCCAGTCAAGCCTTCAGATGACTGCAGCCCTAGTTGACATCTGCCTGCAACTTTATGAGGGACCCTGAACGAGAACTTAGCTCCCGAGTTCCTGACCTACAGAAATCGTGAGAGATAACAAATGATTATTGTTGTTTTAAGAGTTTTGGATTGATTTGTTAAGTAGCAACAGATAACTAACAAATATATAATACAAATCCCTTTTAAAGGAAAAAAACAACAACAAACAATTTCTGGCCCTACATGAGTTAAATTATCTTTATTAATTTACTTAATACAAACACACAGTATAAACTCCTAGGCTTATAGCTTTTATATAACTATTAAACCAAACATTTTAAAATTAAATATAGTACAGCAGACAATATTACAAAACAACCAAATGAAAAGGTTGCTTTGCCGGAACTAAGTTGCCACTCAATGAGACTCTCGATACTGGCAGTGCCTGTGAAATCCACGGCTGGACCGTTGTTACTCAAATAAAGAACTTTCTGCTTGTTTGAGATGGATCTTCTGTCAACCAAAACTTTTCTCAACAACTTGTGGAAACTTAAAAACAAAACAAACAAACATACAAAACCCACACACCATAGCCCAGGCACTCATTCTTATCCTTTCCCCCCATCTTCTTAAGATCAGCACCCTCAGTGCCTCTTCCCTTCTCAGCCAAACGCGGGCGGGGGTCCCCCGGGCCGTAGGTGCACGACGCTGGGGCAGTTTCATTTTGAAGGAGCGCTGCAGAAGCCCTTCCACAGAGCCCCGTTCGCTCAGCTCCCCCGGTTCACCTCCCGTTTGGGAACGCACCACGTTCCGCTTCCGACTTGACAGCGCCAGTTTGAACCCGGGGCCTGTGCAATTCTACCCCCATGGGACCTTCGCCACCGCACTCCACAGCCCGGTCCCCTGGGCGCTGTCCTCCTCAGCCTGCGTTCCTAGAGCACAGAACCGGGCAAAGAGCCGGGAACACACTGCACCAGAGCGAATCCCTGATGATTCATCGTTCAAGAGGCCGGCACGCGGGCTTTCTCGTCCCGCTTTTCGGGCCGAGGAGACGTCGGCAGGATTCCATCTTACACAGCGGGGGCGGGGGGGACAGCGAGCCTCCGCACAAGGGAGCTCTGCGTGATTTCAAACGAGAGTCACTCTTATCTCCTCGCAGTCTGAGGCAAACCGCAACCTTTGTCTAAGCCGCGTTTCCCTTCCCGGCTTGGCGCAGCCTCTGAGCGCCAGAGAGCCCGGCACCACCTCTCTTCGGCCACTGGGTGGCAGCAGGCGCCGAGAAGGGGTGCGCATGTTCCGTGTGGGGCCTCGAGCTTCGCCACCGCAGCCTCCAAGTGACGGAACGCGTGCTTGGGATTGTGGGAAATGTAGTTTTCGGGCCTCAGGCTCCCGACTGCGCCTCCTGCCTGGGCCCAGAGCGGGACTTCAGCTCCCGGCCCGCCGGCGGGCGCGGGTGGGGACGCGAGGGAAGAGGGCGGGGCGAGTGGGAGAAAAGGTGGGCGGAGCCGGTGGGAAGGCCGAGCGGAGGGGGCGGGGCTCCGGCCGGCTGTGCAGCTGCCGCCCGCGGTCTGAGGGACCTGAGGCGCGGGGCCGGGATCCGAGAGGAGCCCAGACGGCGCCGGGCGCGAGGGCGGGCGTGCCCGGAGTGGTTGCGCAGGCGTCTGCCGCCGCCCCTCAATCTCCGCACTTGCGGGTCCCCTCCCTCTCCGCCGGGACGCGGGAGAGCCCGGCGCGCGGCGGGGGCGCGAGGTGGAGCCGGCGGGGGCGGCCAATGCGAAACTGGCTGGTGCTGCTGTGCCCGTGTGTGCTCGGGGCCGCGCTGCACCTCTGGCTGCGGCTGCGCTCCCCGCCGCCCGCTCGCGCCTCCGGGGCCAGCCCCGCAGGTGAGGTCCTGGGGCCAGGCACACCGGCGGCCGCGAAGGGTGGAAGGCCGGGCTCCGGAACCTCCGGTGCGGCTCGGTGCCGCCGAGCTCCGCCGGGAATCGCTGGGGGGGGGGGGGGGAGACGGGGGAGGAAGGGCCAAACACGACGGTCCCCAGACGAAACAAATGATTCTTTTCATCCTTCGAGCGTCTACATCGGGCAAACTTGAGGGAGCTTTTCTCTTTCTGTGTCCCCACGGCTTCTCACCTCCCCGCTTCCCTTAACGGCCACACAGCCGGTGCCCGCAGCTGCAAGTCCTTCGGCTGTCCCCAGGCCTGGTCGGCGTTGTGCGACGCCCTCCCGGGGAGCAGAACCTCGTGTTCCCTTCAGCACTAGCGGCTGCTGATTTGGAAGCTCGGGCTCAAAAGTTTTCTTCCTCCCCAAGTTATTGGTCTTCCTCGGTCAAGACTTTGAGGTTTTAGTGCCGTGGGTAATGTTTGTGCGTGTTTTAAAGGGTGGCTGGGTTTTGCTTCTGAGGAATAACTTTGCTATAAGAATGTATTGTATTTTGTATTTTGGTTATGATGTAAGTCGGTTAAACAAATCTAGACATGAAATAGGGCATGGCGGTGAGTGGAGTTCCTGTGAGTTTGATTCGCAGAGCCTACTAATGAAGTTTACGTGGAAATACCAAATTCTTTAACGATCGTGTCCGTTTGCTCTAAAACTTAATCTCATAGGAGAGAAATCTTTGTTCTTGTTTGCTTCGCATCCTAATAGAATGCTTTGCCCACAGTAGGTACCCAGTGGATTATTTTGTTAATAGGTTCCACCACCCCGAACACTGCTTTAGGTTTCCCTTTTTCGCTTGTCTTTTTTAAGGGCTCTCCCTAGGACGTATAAAGAAACCTAGAAAGCTCTTTTAAAGATGAGGTAATAGTCGTTTTGTTTTTTAACTACGTTGGGATTTTTTTTCTTTCCCCAAAATAGCTGTTTTCTTATACAGAAGTTTTAAAAATTAGACTTATTTGCAGTTCAGCACAATGCACCTTATAAGGAGAAAGTATTCAGCAATCCTCAAAACAATGTTACGTGAGATTATATTGGGGTCATTTTGGTAACAATCTTTTTTTCTATCAGACAAACCACCAGCTCTTTGAAAAGGATTTGTGTGACCTGAATAGAATTAAACACCATTTAAATGATTTAATGAAAATACAATGTTACAGTGCATTTAACCTGTTAACAGGTTTGGGTTTTGTTTTGTGTTGTTTTTTAGGTTTTTGTAAACTGAGCTGAGAAAAAAGTGCCATATATACATAATTCTTTGTAACATCTGTTGGGTTTGTGTTTTACAGGTTTCTTTTTTGTGTATGAGTGAGCCCTACTGGATGCTATTTGCAAAGCATCCTTAGAATATTTATGACCTTACCAGTCTTTCAGGGTTTAATAAAACAAACAAAAGCCCTGCCTTCGAACTTAAATCTTAGTAGACCTGCCAGGCAATTTCTTAGTTTGAGAAAAGTTTTTCCTACCCCCTTTGTGTTTAGATGGTGCCTTTATCTGCCATCCGGTTAGATCAGGCTAGATCAAGGAAATGAAGAAGTAATTGTAGGAAGGGACAGGGTAATGTTAATATATAGGTGAGAAGATCAATACTAGTTACATAAATTAACTTGACTTTGAGTGGATACTGTGCATCTGGTCAGATAATAAGGATACTTTAATCTAAATTAAACATGACTGACTCCCAACTTTCCTCTTTTCCTTTTGGTACTTTCAGAACTAAAAGCAGTGGAAACATCTTGATTGCTAAAATTTCCTACAGCAGCTTTTCCCATTGTGCTGTCACCATGTTTAATCTAAAACACTTGGGCATTTTTACATTTTAACCCTTACAGTTTAAGCCTAAGGAGAGAGAGAAAACCCAAGATTTTGCTAAGTATTCTTCTCTTGAGTTAGTATTTAAAGATTTACTTTTGTTCTCTTTTCTCTTCTGCCTCTTTGTTTTCAATCTCATTAAGTCTTGGCAGTATATTTTGAAAGAGAGATTTACCCTCCCTAAATATTTAAAAAGATGCTGTGATTGGCAGTTGATTCAGCAAATAATTGAGAGCCACTCTATGCCAGCTTCTGTTGTAAGTATGGAATTACGAGCTAAAGCCCCTGCCCTCATTCAGTTTACAATTTAGAAGAGAAGACAGAGCATAAGGAAATATTGTAAATATCACAGCGGGGTAAAGCTAAGTATGGCGAAGAAAAATAAAGCAGTGTAAGAGAATGTTGGGCTGCTGTTTTATATAGAGAAGTCAGGGAAGGCCATTATGAAGAACTGAGCAGGAACGAGAATGAAGTGAGCCAGCCATGTTAGTACCAGGATCAGCGACTTTTCTAATGTGGTAGCTTGCCTTAAATAGCAGAAACCAGTCAGGGAGAGCACTTGGAGAAGAGGAAGCAGGCCTTCTCTTGTGAAATCCAGCACACCTAGGGGTGACAAGAGGAAAATGGAGGAGGAGATATCCATTGGACTAGGGAATCTAGATATAGGATATCTTGATTACAACATAACTGGTTTGGGGTAATGCCTTGGCAGGAATTATTTAACGCTTAATTTAGAAAAACAGTGTGGCAAAATAGGCTTCTCTTTTCGGGATATTTGGAAAGAAAGAAACCCAAGAGAAAGGAAAGGAGCATATATCCACTCAACAAATACTTAGTGCTGGGTGTTGTGCTGGATGCATATTCCCTGCTCTCAAGGTGCTCATAGTATGTCATGTGGAAACAGACATAAGGCAAGTGGAAGGTCAAAAATAAATTGAGCTTGCTTCGCAATTTTGCCTAAGGCTAGTTCTTCCAAAATTATCCCTATGCTAATTATGTCTCTGTGCTTCAGTTTCCTTATTTATAAAATGATCTCATAGAGTTACTGTGAAGACTCAATTAATAGAACAGTGCCTGGTTCATAGTAAACACTCCATGAATTTTAGGGAGGAGTAGTACTAATAGTATGGTGGTGGCCGATGCCTATGTTTGTGTGGTGTTTTGGGAGGTATCTTTGGTAGTGTGTATGATGATTATCCTTATCAGTAGATCTGTGGTGGACTTGTATATTTTCCTCATTTTCAAGATTTCTGCCTATTTGTGACTGATGTCATCAAAGAGCATGCACATGAGAGTGAAATTTTGGACTGATTTTTAGGACTCTTTGGGCTTATTTTGAATATTAGTTTGATGTTAACATCCCTTAGACTTCAATATACTTTGGGATGTCCACTCTCAGTGCAGAGCCTAGCAGGTTGCTAGACTCTCAGGATATATTATATATTAAAGAAAAATAGTCATTACTGTAGTGTCTCAGAAAACAATACCCCAAAATGAAGGCCTCAGAAGCAGCTCTCTCTGGCCTTCTCCTATGCTCCTGTCTCAGGGGCTAGCTATAGAAACTAGAACCCCTTTTCCCCCAAACTAGCCATAAAACCTAAAAATATTACTCTTAACTTCCCCCTTCCTTTCTATATAAAAACTGGCCATAAAGAAATTATCTGACCTACCTTGTCTGATTGTAGGTCATAAGACCCTCATTGCAGAGAGGGTCCTGCCTCATACCCAGGAGGAAAGGACTCATGCTCATAGAGGCCAAGAATGATCTTGACAGACAGGCCTTGCTGGGTTTCCCTACTCAGTCAGTTAGCCTTCGGTCATATCTTTTTTGTCCAACCATATTTCTATACAACTGTCCATACTTTGTTAAACCTAAGCATAAAAATGGACAGTTTCCTCTCTATCTTTGTATCTTCACTCTGAAGGCTTCCGTGTCACATAAAACTAAGATCAAATAAATTTATATGCTCTTTCTCCTATATTTTCCGTGAACTTACGGAGGGCAAAGGGAAAGTTTTCCCGTGGCCCCTACATTACCCTCAGGGAGCTTGCTTGGGATTGTGAATTATTCCTGAAATTATGGAGATTTCATTTACTGCTGTATCTGTGCCATCTAGAACAGTGAACATAGGAGATGCTTGGTAATTTGAATAAATAAATCAGGAGAATAAAACTGGGAAAGTATGAATGAATTTTTCATCTGCAGATCATCTGCTCACATGCCATGAAAACTTCAGGATTTAAATTTTTTTTTTTTTATAAAAGTGAAACAAGTTCTTTGTGGAAAAATTTTGAATTATTTTTTTAAAAAGGAAAGAAATATGGTCTACTTCTAGACCATTTTCAAAAGAGCGTATGTGTTGGGTGAAATTATTTAATATATTTTAAAAATTGTATTGATATATAATAATACATTCTTTTCGTCATGTAACTATGCAGCTGGATATATTTTCACAAACTGAACATACCCAGGTAATCAGCATCCAAATTAAAAGAAAACTACCAACACCCCAGAAGCTCCCTACATGCTGTCTTCTGTCACTGCCAAGGGTAGTAACCACTATTCTGATCTCTATTGGCAGACATTTGACTACTTTTGCACTTTATATAAATGGAACCACCCAGTATGTACATGGTTCTTATAGACTGCTTAATATGATGTAGAATAATATTTAGTGATACATTTACAACATAATTTTAATGGCTGAATAGTATTCTATCATATAGAGACAGCATAATTTATTTAATGAGTCCCTTGTTGCGTTTATGTAGCTTGCAGTTTTTCACTATTAATAAGTGACACTGTTGAATAGAGATCTTTGCGTGCATCACTGATTATTTCTTTAGAATAAATTCTTAGGCATAGAATTGTTGGACAAAGTTTATACTATTCTGTTATTTGATGTGTATTTCCAAATTGCCCTGCAGAAGACTGTACCAAATTACACTCCTACCAGCCCTGAAAGAGAGTAATCATTTCCTTGAAATCACTGTGAACCTTTCCTTGAAGTACCCATCATTTGGTTATTATCATTTAAGAAGACATTTGTCAGTTTGAATGTAAGAGAAAACGGGTATTTTATTGCTCTAATTCAAACTTGATTGCTAGTGAAGTTGAACATTTTTTCATGGGTTTGTTAACTATTTACCTTTCTTCTATTGTGAATTATCTTTATGTCCTTTTGTATCATGTTTACTTCTTAGTTTTCCTTTTTACCTGTTTCCAGACACCAGAATCAAACTAGATACCCTATGCTCGTAATAAATAACAGAGTGTGATGGAGTGTAGAGCCAGATTGGTAAAGGGAACTAGGAACTTGAATAACATTCTTACACAAGTATTTATTAAGCATTTAATTTGGGTTTTATACTGTGTAACACAGTGCTCAGGAGTCTGTTGAACTGATTTACATCGATGGTATGTGATAGAAGAAAACTATTTTTCTGAAGTCTAACTTCAGTATATCTGGAAGTACTCTAAAAGGCCAAAATATGCCGTGTGCTTCCTCTCTGTAAGGAGGAGAGAAATTAATGTAAAATAAAGAGTTGAATAGAAGCAGCTTAGATGTGGATTAGAAGTAGGGAGGATTGACAGTGGCAGAGAGTTGGAATGAGATCAAAAAGTAGTTTTATATCCTTAATCCATGTGATTTTCCCATGCCACACGGTTATCTTTTTGTTTATTTACTTATTTTTAGAAAAATCTAGTTTGACAGTAGTATGGAGAAGTCAGGGAGAAACTAGTTAGGATACTTTTATACTGGTCTAGGTGAAAGAACAATTTGAGCTGAAGCAGCAGCTAGAATTAATTATGAAAACAGATGGATTTGAGAAATTTTTTATGAAGATTTTGGATCATCAGTAAAACGTTAAATTATGTTCCATGTAGTCTGTTTCTAGAAGATTTATTTTGATTATCCATCAAAAATAAGGTAGTAAGTTTGGCATTAAAAGGGATATTTAAGTTATTTGAAAATTTGATTTTGTATTGCAACCTTGTTTTCTGATGATGTCAGGTAAATAAGGCATTTAGACTAAATGTGATTTTTTGCCATTCTACAGCTTTTAATGTTTCGAGATGACATTTTGAAACAGGTAGAATGTCTAAAGACTTTTTTGGTATCAGTTGTCTCTGATTAAGAAACAGGCACAAGGAATTTAAATAATTTCTTACTGAGGTAATATAGCATGTTGGCTATGGAATCAATGTCAACTGGCTGGTTACTACATTTGTCTCCCTCCTGTCACTAGAATGTACTTAATATTTCTTTGCGAGGGTCCAGGGGTGGTGGCTCTTGCCTGTAATCTGAGCACTTTGGGAGGCCAAGGTGGCAGGATGGCTTGAGGCCAGGAGTTCAAGACCAGCCTCAGCAACAGAGTGAGACCCCAACCCTATAAGAAAAAAAAAATCTAAAAATTAGCTGGGTGTGGTGGCACACACCTATAGTCCCAGCTACTTGGGAGGCTGAGGCAGGAGGATCTCTTGAGCCCATGAATTTGAGGTTGCAGCGAGCTATAATGATACTGCATTCTAGCCCAGGGCAGTGAGAACTCATCTCAAGGAAAAAAAAAAAAAAGTTTCTCTGCGAAACAGTTGAGGGGAGGATGGCATATCATTCCAATCTTATGTAATCATTTAAATTAGTCTCCAGATCCAGACCCATTTACAGTTCCAGCAAAAGTACAACTTTTATAATATAGTTAATATCTGAGAAAAAATGTTCCTGAGCCATGAATGCAAAAAAATTAATGTATTAACCAGCATCTTCAGTGATCTGCTTAGCACTAATTCACCACTTGAAGTCGTGTTATAGATAAAAAGATCAGAATTTAGACTCAGATAAGCTACATTAAACTGTATAGCTATAGAACAGTTATGAAGAATGGAGTTAGATTGCCTGAAATAAATTTTAGCCCAGCCATTTTCCTAGCTGTTTGATGTAAGGCAAGTTACGGAATTCTCTGTGCCTGCTTCCTCATTTGTTCAATAAGTACCTACCTCCCTCAGAGTTGTGAGAATTAAATGATACTCTACATATAGTACTTGTCACATATTAGGTATTCAAGAAGGAAGTGTGGCCTATGATAAGCTTAATCCATCAAAGTTTGGATTTATGTTAAAGATAAATTCTGTCTTTATAGAAGAATTCATTTTGGTACAAGAGTCTGAGGGTAGGGCAAAATAACAAGTAAAATTATATCATGGAAAATAAGGTGTCTACACAAAAATTCCTGTATTGCCATAATTGTTATAATATCCTTAAAATTATCCTAGTAGAAGACTCTGTTTCCTGATTTTATTTTTATTTTAATTGGGCCTTTGAAAAAATAACATGTTTTTGTTGTCTTTTAGACTGAATATCTAGATCCTATGGCATATAAAAACATTGCATTTAATGTAGTAAAGATTCTAGCATTTGATAATTTATTTGGGGAAACACTTGGGATCAGTTCCTACCACTGGAGAAAGAGATGAAATGGATCTCTCATCAGAGCTGTATATAAGCTTATAACTCTCAAGCCTTAAAACTGGTGATGAAAAGCAAAATATCTTTCTCTTCTGTCTTCTTTCGAAGGACAAGTTTTAGAAATTGAAATGTAAACCTATTAGACCTATGACAATAAAAAATGAGCCATTCACATGACTTGTTACTTATTTTTTTTTTTTTTTACCAAAAATGTTGCCTCCCCTCCTTCATTCTTTAGAATATTTAGTAGATAATAAAAAGTTTGTTGACAATAGAATTCATTGACATAAATAAAGGTTCTGATACTTTTCAGTATGGAAGTGCTTCGACTTCATTCCCCAAACTTTTTTTTTTTTTTTTTTTAAGAGACAGGATCTTGCTCTTGTTGCCTAGGCTGGAGTGCAGTGGCCAGATTATAGCTCATTGTAACCTCGAACTCTTGGGCTCAAGGGATCCTCCTGCCTCAGCCTCCCCAATAGTTGGAACTATAGGCATGCACTACTGTACCTGGCTAATTTTTTTTATTTTTTGTAGAGATGGGTTCTCCCTATGTCCCCCAGATTGGTCTCAAACAAGCAGTCCTCCCACTGGGCCTCCCAAAGTGCTGGGATTACAAGCATGAGCCATCATACCCAGCCCACCCCCCGAATTTAATAACCTTAATATAGGACTTCACCTTTCAAAGAACTTTTTTTGTTAGTTGTCATTGAGTTCCTACTATGTTCCCGGTACCAAACTAGGACCTTTATACATATTATCTCATTTAGTTTTTACAACAGCGTTATGAGAATTATTATACCCATTTTATAGTTAAGGAAACTGAGGCTCAAGCCGTTAAATAACTTACTGCTAATATGTGACAGAGTCAGGATTCTAACTGTGGCTTCATTGACTCTTACTGCCTACTGTTCTATTGTTGATGCCACATTGCCTTTCAAAACTGATTCTTATCACAAACATCTTGTTTGTTTTGAAGAATTTATGTACTTATATGAGCATGAATGCATACATATGCATGGACGACAAAAAGACTCTACACCAAAATGTTGCTGGTGGTTATCTCTGGATAACGGGTTTATGGAGGATTTTTAATATTTTTTCTTTGTATTTATCTGTATTTTCTACAAATATAAACATTTTATTTTGTAATACACTGTTACATATTGAACATAACAGTAATTGAACGTGACTTATTTTTAATTATTGTTACTTATTTCTAGATCAATTGGCCTTATTTCCACAGTGGAAGTCTCGTCACTATGATGTGGTAGTTGGTGTGTTGTCAGCTCGCAATAACCATGAACTTCGAAATGTGATAAGAAGCACCTGGCTGAAGCATTTGATGCAACATCCTGCATTAAGCCAACGGTAGGTTTTCTGAGGTTACCTTGTCTGGTTTACCAAAATTAGAGTTCTGAAAAACCTGATTTTGGATAGTCAGAGATGTTAGTTCAGATACGTCCTTTTTTCCTGGGAGAAATGGCTGTTACATTTGCTTTTCTTCTATATAGCTGGGCCAAAAAATAAGTTTAACCAAGATTTTAAGCCAGAAGTTAGTTGGAAGAGAGTATATTCACTTGTTAACATATGTAGATTTATAGATACCAAGTATGGTTTGTTTGTTTTTCACTTTGACTTAGAATAGCCATTCTTAGAAGGTTCTATTCCAGAGTAGTTCTCTGCTTAGACACACATTTCTGTCTAAATATCCTTTTAACTAACTTCACAGAGATAAACTTAATTTTTTCCAGTTTTGTAGTATTTTTTAGTTGTGTGATCTGCAGTGTGTGTAATATACCATGCTGTTTTTTCCTGACTACCCTTCCAGAACTGAGGTTTGGTAGTACATCTCACGCTGACATTAGATGGCTCAGGGCTCAGTTATTAGTTAGGGGCCCAGAGCCTTAGTCTGTTCTCAAAGAGACCAGCTTCTGAAGAATATGTAGTGAGGCGTTAGGGGAAGAGATGCATAGACAGTTGGACTTCTAGTTATGAGAAGACTACTTAGGTGATAAGTAGAGAAAGCTCTCTCGGGGTTGCATTAAACTGGCCTGTTTGTGATTGAGTATCCATAAAAGGTAATTGCAGTCATGAATTATCTTGTCACCATTAGTATTCTTACTCATAGCAGCTTTCATGCCTTTTCAAGACAGGTTTCTTTAGTTCATATTTGCAATGACAATGGAACCTATTAGCCAGCAAATGGAAGGCCTCATAATCATTGCTGCTATCAGAACCACCTCTAAACTTGCACTTCCTATAGTCTTTCCCATCTCAGAAAATAATCCCTCCTCTACCAGGAGTCATTATTTGGCTCAGACCAAGGAAAACTTTGATATTATCTTGACTCTTCTTTCTTTCGTGTGCTGCATCCAATCCATCAGCATATCCTCTTGATGCTGCCTTTAGATCATACCTAGAATCCAACTTCTTCTCACCACCTTCACCACTGCCATCCTGATCTAGGCCACCGTTACCTCTCAGCTGGATTATTACAGAAGCCCCGTTCTCTGAATTTCCTGCTTCTACTTTTTACCCCCTACATTTTATTTTCCATATAACAGCCGGGGAGATCCTTTTAAAATTAGTCAAATTATGGAAATTCTTATTCATACCCCTTCATTGACTTCCTTTCTTGCTCAGAGTGAAATCTTATATCTTTATTGTGGTCTTTGACCTTAACTACCTATACTGTCCCTGCACTGACCACCTTACTGTGCTTTATTACACTAAACATGCTCCTGCCTCGGGGCTTTCACGCTTCTTTCCAGCCTCCAACACCCTTTTCCCACCCGGACCACTCTTCCACTAAATGTCCTTGTGGCTCACTTTCTTTAGGTCTCTATTTAGATGTCACCCTAGCAGACAGCCCCATATTAAATAACACCTCACCCCTATTCTGTCTCTATCTTCCCTTAGTTGGCTTTATTTTTCTTTATGGCACATATCACCAACTGGCACCTTTATTGTACTTAGTTGTGTATTTATAAATTGTTTGTCTTTCTTAGCTAGAATGTAGGTTTCATGAGCATAGGGGCTTCAGTTTTTTTCACTGGTGTATCCCCAGTGCTAAGAACCTAGCTTGGCACAGACTACGGCACTCAACAACTGTTGAATGAATGACTCAGAACTAAATGTAATGAGTAAGGTTAACATTCATACATTCACCAGTAATTTATTTGCCATCATAGCAGTCTTGCTTTAAATTTAGTAAGCTTGGTTTGTGTGATGAAAATGATTTGCCGTCTGTATAAAAATAGATATTAGGCAAAAAGAACTTCCT